GGACAAAAAGGAGCGGGGTCGGCCCGGGTGCTTGTCGGCATTGCACAGGAGGCCGCAGTCCAAGTGCCTTGTGGTGTCAAAGTGGGGAAACGGCTGCCACCAGAGTAGCCAGGAGCGAGCATCCACATCCAATCCATGGTTCCTTCCCTGACGCCTTGCCAGAAAACCTCGGGTCGGAGCTGCCACGGGGCGGGAAGAAGCCCCCTGGCGGCACACTTAGCAAGACCGTCGGCAAGATCATTGAAGGCGCATCCAACATGCGAGCGGACATGGAGGGGCGCCACTGGCTGTTGAAAGGCCGTCGAAATCAAAGCGAGCCCCACAGCGGCCCGGGCTACAAGGTCATCGCACGCAAAGGTCGCCATGCCGAAAGCCACAGAAAGGGCGGACGTGCAGTCACTGCCAACAACAACAGGCAAGGGCCGGAGTGACAAAGCGAGGGCCCGGGCATACACAATAGCATGGAGCTCTCCGACATAAGCCGAGTCGCCCGCGCAGGTGCCAGCGGTGATCCCAATGCGTACAGGCTGTTGTCTGCAGAGGCCGAGGAGCACAACTGACCAGCCTGCAACTGTTGAGCCCGGGAAGAAGGAGCCGTCGGTAAACGCATCCTGGCCATCCCAAGCTGGCAAAGCAGACCAGCCGGCAGCAGCATCTGTGGGAAGGTGAGGCACCAGGGGCAAGGTCTGCGGCAACTCGGCAGGGCAAAATTCGGAAAGGAAGAAATCCAGCATGTCCGGCGAGAGGCCAAAGCCAAGCCCCGTGGCCGGCGCAGGTAAAAGGTTATCGAGGGCCAGCGTAACCTTGCCGGAGTCCTTGCCCGTACCTTGGCCGGGCCACAGGGCAGGGAGCGGCGGCCAAATGGCGTGGGAACCTGACCCCGCAAGGTGGCGGGCGGAGGGCCATTCCTCAGTTGCGAGCGGGGTCCCTGAGCCAGGGGGTTGCAGCCCCGACTCGTTGAAGCCACCGTCGAAAGCTGCAAAAGACTAAGAGCCCCCTCAGGCTCATCCTCCACAGGCAAGCCGTCGCTATGGGCCTCAAGGCATGCGAGTGTCCCTTCCTCGCATGGACATTGCGCAGAGTCAGGGTGCAGAATGCGCAGCCGGTTGCATCTGCTAGCCTGCCTGGCCTCGTCAGTGCTGAGATGGGCGAGGGAAGTGCCGCTGCGCGGGACCACCCTGCCGGAGGGGCTGAGTGTTTGGCGCTCCGGCGGTGGGGGTGGTCGGATGTGATGGTACAAAGGCCCCGCAACCGACGAAGGAAGGATGTAGGTCACAATGATTTGGCCGTGATACCAACGTCCTCTGGGCCACAGGACCCGCTGCTGAGGGTCGAGTGGCAAGTAGCCCAGATCCTGTGCCCGGGAAGTAAGCAGCAGCACAACGAAATGGCCCGGACTTGTTGGCAGGGGCAGCAGGACAGTGCGCAAATCGCTGTTGGGCATCGCCGTAGTGAAAATGGAGCGCCCCGGCCGTTGATCCGTGGTTAAAGCGATCGGGAGGTACATGCGGTTGAACTCGGGGACACGCTGCACAGCCTCTCGCAGTTCCTCAACGGTCGGCGCCAAGCCGCCATCGATTCGCAGCCTCACGGGCGCATGGGCCGGGCCTATGATGGTGGCTGTTCCTTCTTGGGCAAGCCACACTCTGGCAGCTCGCCGGCGCTCACGGGCCCTTGCAACGAAGGAAGTATCGCTAGCTGTACGGCGCGCTAGGAAGGGCCAGCCGTATGCTTCTGTATTAGGGATAAGATCCATAATCTCAGAAGCGGCAGTGTGGGGAGTATAGGGAGCAGCCAGGCCAATCTGCAAATAGTCGGCGTTGAGGATGGGTCTTTGGGCCAAATGGTCGGGAGCCCCATTGACGAGGGTGAAAAGGCCCTGCTGTTGTCTCCATTGGGAGGGCAAGACACTCTCAACCGTACGGATACGGTGGGTGGCCTCAACTGTGACAGCATCATGGTGTGGCCGGGCATCGTAAATCGCGAAGGCCTGATTGGGGTCCGCGGGTGACCACGCAACGAAGAGTATCTCTTGGATATGGCCTTCGGGTGGAGGCTGGGCCTTTGCGAGGGCGATCATGGTTTCGCCTTCAGTGTTGGGCTCAAGCCTCTGCAGCTCCAGGAGGAGGTAGTGCAAATAGTTGTCAAGCTGGGCAAAGGGCATTGGAAGGTCCCTGTGCACCTCTTTGCCTACAGACAGTATCCGGATTCTGAAGACCCGCTGCAGGGGCCCAATCATGCCGGTAGTGGTGCTGGTAGTGCCCATAGAGAGGATGCCCGCGGGGCCTCGGAGGCTAGGCGGCAGGCGAAAAGGGTCACCCACCGATTGCAAAGCGCTCCAGCCTGAAACCTCAAGGTGAAGTACTTGGAGCTCCGTGAGGTCATCCGGGAAGTTGCCTTGAAGGATGCCCGCGACATCCAAAACAACAAACCTGCCTGTCAGGATATGGAGGGCGACGTCAGGCTCTTCCGGAAGCGTAGCCTGGAGATCGGCTGCTGCTTGGGCCAGAGGCTCGCCTGAAAAGTGCGCGACCGTCCGCAGGGGAAGCCCAACTGTGCGTCCGTCCCACGGCACCGCCAACCTATCCCTTGCGTCAGTGACTAGGGTCAGGACGATCTGCGGCAGAGGCAGGCCTTGCACGGGCTCCATAAGGAACTGGACAGCTCGTACAGGCTGTGGAGCTGACTCAACTGCCCGCTGAACATAGTGCTGTACCTGAACAGCGCCCTCAGAGCGCAGCACAACGTGGTGCCGTTGACAGTCAAAGACAGTAAAGAGGTGGGCCGTATCGTCATCCGGTTGCCCCCACGAGAGTTGGTGAACCACAGCAGTGGCACGTTGCGCCACCCCATACAAAACAGGCGGTGGTGGCCAGGCCTCGGAATTGGCCTTGTCAGTCCGGGGGTGCTTCGTGGAGAGAAGCGAGAGGGGCTCCTCCTCTTCAAAGATACCTGAGGGCCCCACGGGGGTCTCAACGAGGGGCCAAGGCCCAAGAGCATCGGCCTCTGCAGCACAAAAGATATCATGCCCAGCAGGAGGAGTGCCCTTCAGTTGCGGTGCGGGCGTGAAAGCCACCGTTGCGCCTGAGATGCGGCAGGAATGCTGCAGCAAAACAACCTGGTCCGGGTCCGGTGCCTGTTCCAACATCGGAGCTGGCTCAGAGGCCGATTGCAGGAAGTCAATGACCACATCGCCAGCAGCCCGGGCCAGCGGGAAGGTAACAAAGGGTTGGCTTCGGTCGTCCAGCAGGTGATATGGGGAGCGCGGCAGACGCTCTGGTGGGCACTGCTCGTCACAAACGCGCCTCACAACATCAGCAGGGGTCCCTGGCGCGAAGGCGAGCGTGCAAATCCGGCCTTGAAGAGCGCGGTGGTCCAGCGGGATGATCAAGTGGTCCGCTGGATCTGCTCTAGTGGCAATAGCAACTTGGGCGGCGGGGAAGCCGCTGAGTCGGTGCTGCAAAACCCGTACTGAGCGGAGATTCGGGTGCAGGCTCACCAGGTCTTCAATGATTTCGTCCAGCGAGCCGGACCCTGGTAGCCGCCGCGTTTCAGCATGTGCCGAAGTAGAAAAGACGGCATACCTGTCGTACTGTGAACTGCTGACTACCGCCCCCGTGGCTCTGTAGCCCTGATACCAGGAAAAGGTTGTAAGCGGCACCTGGCGCAGTTCTGGCCTGTCCAGTGACAAGGGGGTGATCGTCACCCGCTGTGCTATAATGCCTCGTACTCCGGATGGTCTCCGTCCAGGCTGGGGAAGACCTGTGGGCACCTCAACCGTGCTGTTGAGAGGCGGGGCTTGTGCGCGGTGAATGCCGCCGACACAAGGCGAGGATGAAGAAAGCGAGGTAGGCAGTGCGGACAGGTCAGCGCTAGCCACAAGAGGCTGCTGCTGAAGCGACCGGGAGTGGACGGCATGGCCTTGGACTCCTGAAGGGACAAGACGAGCTCCCATTCCTGCTCCAGCAGGATAAGGCTGCTGCGAAAAGCCTTCGTGCCAGCCTGAAAAAGAGTCTGTACACGCTCCTGTGCTGTTGAGAGGCGGGGCCTGCGCGCGGCAAATGCCGTCGGCACAGGGCGAGGACGACGGAAGCGAGGTAGGCAAGGCGGACGGGTCAGCGCGAGCCACAAGAGGCTGCTGCTGAAGCGACCGGGAGTGCTCGGCATGGCCTTGAATTCCTGAAGGGACGAGACGTACCCCCATTCCTGCCCCAGCAGAAGAGGGCTGCTGCAAAAGGCCTGCCTGCCAGCCTGGAAAAGGACCTGTACACGCTCCCACGCTATGTACAGGACTGCCTTTACAAGTCAGACGCGAAGTCTCACGTAGGCTCAGAACTCGATGAAAGAGCCTCGCCACCTCGTTGAAGAGGGCGTCCCTGCATCGGCGTACAACGCTGATCCTGGGCTTGATGGTATAGTGTTTGACATGGAGGCAGCTAGGCCCACATGTCCCCCCACTGACACCTGCAATAGCAGCGACCAGACTCTCCAGGTCGCCGTCGTCGCCCCTGTACTCGAGGGCGTAGGGCTCGAAGTCGGACAAAGGGTAAGCAGGCTCACACAAGCGAACTTCACCCCTTGAAGTGTTCCACCCCTCGTCCTGAGAAGAGGGCGGTGTCCAAAGCTCCTCGCCTTCCTCAGCATGATCCAGCCGGTGGTCACAACCTGGAGTAAAAGGGAAGCCGTGCGCGTCGAAGGAGAGGTCTGTGCTCAACTGTAAAGCATACCAGGTGGCTGTAAAGGGTGCCACAAAAGCATCATCCCACACGATGCTGTGCTGATATTGCCAAACAGGAGCCGGAATAGGCCCCATGAGTCCCGTGAGGCTCATCATGGGGCCTAGCCAGGGGGCGAGTCGGTGACCTCGACTGGCTTGCTTGTGCGCCGCGGTGTACGCTCCCGGTCCT